GATACCATAAAGAAATGACCGTTGGATAAGACTTCAAAATTGTCGGCTGATTTTCAAAACCAGACGGACTCCGTACAATATAAAATCTCCAATATGCGAGGTATTGAGCCACATGACAGGAAGTTAAACTGAACTGATTTCACCAAGATGTCAGAGGGAAAATCTCACAAACGTGGGTACAGAGTAAGCAAACATGGTGGATGAGGAATAATTGATGGCGGATCATGACAGCATTTTTAGCTTATGTATTGTAGCTTCGCCTCAGTGTTTCCATCACCTCGCTTCCTGATTGGCTACACATCATATTAACGGGCTGCGTTGTCGTTTCTCCTTGGATCTTCCTGTGTGAACTTGGTGTAGGCATCAGCGTCTCAGTGTCTTGAAACACTTGGATGATGTGTCACAAATGTCTGACTAAAGGTTCTGGCCCCTAACTTCCTGTCAAACCTCCTGGGTTTGACAGGAAGTTAAACCTTCCTGTTTAACTTTATAAATAAAGTGTCTTACGATCAAGACACATTGTATAAATGTCAATAGTCGGAGACATTTGCTAAAATTAGATGTTCACCTTTATAAATTGTCAAAATTGTTTAACTTAAATATCCCTGATATTGTATTAATTCTCCAGGTACATGAAGATCTTTCATCATCTCAGGACTTCCTTCCTGATGACGGCTCAAGCTGCCCGCTTCCTCTCAGGAGCCACCTGGGTTTTCTTCCTGGTTCCAATGCCTGCATACATCATCCTGATGCTGAACACCGACAAAGCTTCTGTTTCTGGTGCCAGGACTTGTGATGTTTTGCAGAGTGAATCAGTCAAAGTATTCTACAAGCTTTTTCATGCTGGTGTTGCCATCATCTTCCTGTCAGTGCTCTCCTCTCTGCTCTTCTGCTACTGCAGCGCCTCCCGCAGGGTTTTGCAGATCCAGCGGAAGCAACTGGGCTCCTTCAACTCCAAGAAGCTTGTGAAGTCTCGCAGGAACATGTTGGTGATAGTCAGTGTGTTCTGTACCTGCTTTCTTCCCTATCACCTGGTTCGACTTCCGTACATCATACTTCGAGGACAGTGTTATGACGTGCTCTATTACCTGAAGGAGGCGACTGTGCTAATATCAGTTTTTAATGTCTGTCTGGATCCTCTGATTTACGTCTTTCTTTGTAAGGAGTTCAGGGCCCAGTTGAACCTGCAGGGCATGTTCTCTACTACAAAAGACAACTCAAGCATCTCGGTCTCAGAGGCTAAAGGTGAAGCGGGGAAATGGGAAACCAACAAATCCAGTAGTGAAAACACAGATTTCCATGAACTGGGATAAAGGGAAATGGATGGATGCCATCGGGATTGTTCTGGTTCTGGAAACCAAAGACAGGTCGTCACCCAAAAAACTAGTTCAAGACACAGAAAGCTGTGAAGTATGAAAGCTCAGGTGTCATGGTATGGAGACTCTTCTTTCACCATGGTGTCTAGTTTGAATGCTTCAATATAAAGAGACCAAGCTACCCTATGCAAAGGGCCAGTCCTTTGCTGGGATATCCGTTTAGAGGTGCCAGAACCAGGTGGACTCCACATCCACCCGCCAAGCAGTTCTCAGAAACTAAAAATTAGTTCAGTTATTGACAGGAAAGTTGATTGATTAGAAAACTTTTCCTTTTATAGCAAATGTTTGAGCTTGTAAAGAAAAAATGCTGCAGGTGAAGTTCCTGGTTGAGTGAAACCAAATATTGGTAAAAATGTTCTTCATCTTTTGATTTGAAACAAGTTAAACTCTGTTTGCATTTGAATGTATGGAAATAAAGCTACTCACTTCTGCAAAGAAGAGTGTTGTGATTGTGAAAACAACTGTGTGGAAATGTGATGAAATTCAGGGCAAACATTCAAATTAGGAATCATTTACTCTCACATGCCAGAGTTTATTAATGCCACTCCACACTGCAAAAACATAAAATACTACCAAGTACTTGTGGTCTAATTTCTAGTGTAAGTATCTTAGTATACTTGAAATGAGGCAAAACTAACTTACAAGTAACTTTTCAGCAAGACAGGAGCTTGTTTTAAGTCAATACTGAAAAGTTACTTGTATGGAACTGATATATTTGCAATAACAATTAGACGATTGGTGATATTTTATATTTTCACTGTGCACTGTGAAAACAGACATATGCTACCAACCACAAAAGTTACAACACCCTGTCTTTTTTTCTAGAGAAGGCCTTCACGGACAGAGACCGCAGAAAGAAACATCTGATCTCTCGGTGGTGAAACATGTTGCAACCATCTTACAGCCTGCAGCTCTCACACCACATGTGTTTGCTGCATTTCTGCTCCATTAGTTTCGACGGGTTTCTGTTACCCAGTCCTTTACTCAGCCTGTCATAATCTGAATCCATACTTAAAACGATTAAAGCCACACGACAGACCGTTAGGTTAATGTTAGCACTCAGCAACAGTTTCATACCGTCTTTATCTTCATATGTAACATGGTGGCTGCAGTTGGAAGTGTTGCCTAGCAACAACAATGTCATGGGTTCGAATCCCAGCCTGATCCTTAGATACTAAATGTTTTATAAAATTTATTTAGACTGAGATTAAAGCATTGTTTAATAACTGGAATCAATTCAGAATGCAGATTTTGTAAAATACCTTGAGGCAACATTTAGCATCGATTAACAGTCTACGACCAGCCTGTTAACTGATCATAGTGCAGCATTTTCCAACCCTGAACCTCAAAGGACTCTGCTCTACATGTTTTAGTTGTTTCCCTGCTTCAGCACACCTGAGTTTAACTGATGGATAATTAGCAACTGTTTACTGAACTGCAGTCGTCTAAATTAAAGCATGTAGAAACGCAGTGCAGTGCGCCTTGAGGACCAGGGTGGGGAGACGCAGCTCTACTTTGTCATTATGTCTTGTTGTGAAAATCCTATTAATCCTGATAACAAATGAGGCAAAATGCTGCCTCAAAGTGCATCCACTTTGGTGTTATGTCCTTCTGCAGAGACAAAGTCAAGGAGCTGCAATCATTGAACGGATTAGGGATTGGTAATCTGGTCCTAGAAAAGCAGCTGATAATTTAAAATGTAAAAAGGCCTTATAAAGCAACCAGGAAGCTTGTAAATAAATTTGATTCTCTTTCCTTTTTTAAGCATGTCATATTGTGGCATTTCTGCCATAAAACAAAGATAAGATGGTTGTTTTTTAAGAAAGAACAGAATAGAAATGATGACGGCAGAATCAGTAAACCCCAATCAGATTATGAGAGTGTTTCCGCTTTCCGCTTTCTGAGGAAGCTGTGACGATTCACAGTAGACAGCAATAAATCGGTGTGAAAACCAGAGAATTGTCTCATTCTGGTAGTTTCTCCAGACTGATATCTTAAACTCTAAGGAGACTTCACACCAACAGAAAAAGCTCTGAAACTGTGGAAGAGGGAGAACAGAAGTAGCTGTAAGTACCTAAAACCCTCCTGTTATGCTGCGGGTCAAACTGACCCCTTTAAAAGTTAATTTTTTTTTAAATAGTTGGAAGTTATTTTTTCCGCATGAAACTTTTTCTATTCGTCTTAATAGGTGTACTCTATGTATAAACTGAAAATGGTTCATTTTACACATTTGCAGCCCCCCACTAGCTCTACATATTACATGGATACTGTTTGGGTCAAAGTGACCCAG